TAAAAACTTCAATTGAATTTCAATAAAGTTAAAGGCATGGCCTCACCGTTAATATTTAAAAAAAAAAAAAAAATGTTAATAGTCTTTTAGACAATTACAAACAACTAAGTTTAATTAACTACATCTTAGAAAATCAAATAAACATCTTTAGAATATCAGAAACCAATTTATCTATTAAAGAAGCAAAATTCTTAACTCTTTCACAAAAACTTACAAATTATAAAAGCTTCTGGACATCAAGCAATGCTTGCCAAAGTGGTGTAGAAATTTTAATTCACAAATTATTCACTAAACATATTGGAAAAATTCAAATCTACAAAAATTTCCTAATAGAAATTGATATCTTTTTTAAAAATCTTTATGTCAAACTAATTCAAATTTATTTTTCAACTCAAGAAAAAAAACAATTTCAAAAAGATATCCTTTCATACCTTACTAGTATTTTTTTTTTTTTTTTTTTGATATTAAGGTAACCTCTTTGGTCTTTTGACTTTTATTAATCACTTATTAGTATTGTAATTCAATAAACCACTACAGGAGAGTGTACAATTGGCTACACATGTAGCTTTTCTATATTATCTATTTAAGGAGTCCACCCAAAGGTTCTCTACCAATTGCTATACCTAACACCCTTGCTTGGATGTTCCACTTTAAACCCTCTGAACCTATAACCTGTATTAATATCACTAGTTATCTCAGATGCCCAGATTATCATCCTCAACCTTAGGACTAATTTATCCTTGAGGTAAATCCTCCAGAGCAGGGTTGGCAATGGACTATATTCAGTAAAAATAATTATTCAATGGACATTAATGGACCAATGGATATATGCCCATTAATCTATTGTTCCATTGGTTCATTAATTTTTTGATAATATAACACATATTATAACTAGCACATGATCATGTAGCAGCTTTGCCACCTAGTCTTACAGTATTAATAATTAAAAATTAGCCTTAGATCGATTATAAATTATGATGATTAGCAATTAACCATTACAGTTTGCAATAATTATAATCCTTATAAAGTTAGCACTATAAATACGATTTAATCAATTTAATCAAAAATTACAATGTAATTATTTTATAAATCCATTTAAAGTACTAAATGATTGATAGCAGCCTCAAGTTTTAATCAAGATTACAGTTACTAGATATATTTAAATCTAGAAATAAGAATCAAGTTTTATTTCAAAGGATTATCGATGCTTCACATGTTACATATTTAATCAGATTACATATTTGGTCTTTAATCGATATTATATAATTATGCAAGTATATGTGATAAAATATTCAGTGATTAAGAGAAAAATGTAGAGCGATGATCAAATGTCAAAATAAATTAACAATAATCAAATGTAGCTAATGAACAAATTCTTTGTTAAAGCCTTTTGCTGTTCCTTTGAAGATCACTGATTATCAATTAATTAAGCCAGCAAAAAGATGTTTAGTAAGTATCAGCTCTGTGTGATTTTATGATAATACTAATCTTATCTCTATATTAAAAAGAATACAGAATGTATAATCTTCTTGTATTCTCAATATCAAATTGATCTGAAACAACTAAGCTAAAATGTAAAGTAATAGAATTCATAGTCATGTCCAGATTCTGAACACAAAGAGAGTAATAATACCAAAATAAGTAAGGCAGCACTAAAAACTACAGTATGCAAAGAAGTATAACCTTCGAATTCATGCGAAAAAAATGCAAATAAATTGTTAGTATAAATAAATCAAGTGAAAAAAGAAAAATTAGTAAAAGCTACCTTTTTAAATCCTCCAAGCTTCCAATTAATAAAAAATCGAAGATTCTTTATTGAATTCACATTATAAAATCGATCAGATAGAACATAAAAAGAGATTGTATAAAAATTATAAAGCATAAAAATTTAATTAATAAAAAATATTTTCATCTCAAGTTTTTATAATTCGAGAAGAATTTTCTTATCTTTTTTTTAGTATTTCATATTTACTACATAAGTTTTTTTGAATAAAGTTGCATAATTTTTATCTATAACAAGATTTATTGATTTATTATCGTTATAAATCCATTTTCAGCTATGATGTTAGTTAGTTCAACTACATCTCAGCCAAAAAAGCATGGTGGAGGAAAAGGTAGACATTATCTTACAGAGTATATTATTATTACTAATGAATATGTCAATCTATAAAAACCCAATGATAAATATTGCTATTGCTTAGGCTGTTACAAAATAAATTCAGAAAAAGTTAAAATCATTAATAGAAAAAAATTAGTAAAAAATCACCTTAAAAAGTGCTTATATTTTATGCATAAAGTTGGTGGAAAAGAACAAGTCAATAATATTTTGAATAAAGAAGAATCTGAAGAATCTTCAACAAAGAAGTTACGATTGGATTATAAAGATGATAAATTATATATTTTAGTATTATAATATTCTGTTATTTTATAATAATTCAAACAAATATTATTTAATTTAGAATCTTCTGATGAAAATAAGAGTTTAACTATCTCAAAAGTTGAAAGTAAAAAAATAGACCATTTTCTTGCTCATACGCCAACCTTTTTAGAACAAGCTCAATTTGAAGATCAAATTTTAAATATTACAATAACAAATAGTTGGTCATTTCGGTAGGTAGAAGATAAAAGTATCATCAAGCATTATCATTGGTTGAATCCTCACTTAGTGTTACCTAGCAGAAAACAGTTAGCTGGATGTATTTTAAAGTCTGCAACTGAAACAAACAAATCTTATATACAAGATAAAGCATGTAGTAACTTATATGGAATTATGATTGCTTTTAATGGTTGGAAAAATGTAATAAATCAAGAAATCTTAGGCTCAGTACTAATAATGTCTAATGGTAAAACATTAGTATGGAATGTAATTAATATTAGTAGATGAAAAAAAAAATATGAAACCATAATGGAAATGACTGAAGAAATATTTAGAGAAATTGATATATTAGAAATAAAAATTAATGGGCTTGTAACAGACAGTGATGCAGCTTATGCTGCTTCTAGGTAATATTAAACTATTCTATAAATAAATAAATATTAGAAATATATTAATACTTTTTTTTAATTATAGATGTAGACTTAGATTAAAATATTCCAACAAAATTTTTTTACTGTATTATGCACATCAATTTAATTTATGTATGGAAGAAATTTTCAAGGAATCCGATGATTTTAATATAGCAATGAAGTTAGCAATTATGGTTGTAGCTTATTTTAAAAATGCTAACCATTCTTATTTTATTAGTAAGCTTCGTGATGAGCAGTATTCTTTGTATAAGCATTTTATTTCATTGGCGAATCCTGTAGAAACACAATGGAATAGCTTTTATTACTGTGTTAACTCTTTACTTAAATCAAAAAGTGCATTAAAAGTATAAGTTTTTATATTTATTTTTTTACTTACTTTAATTATATTAATTATATTGAAATGCTTAATTTAACTATTTTAATTCTTCAGGTATAATTAAAATAGATATATTAATCATATTCTAATTACATCTAAAAAAATTAAAATAGTTAAGGATAATTAGAATATTACTTTCTTTTATAAATGCTATAATATTAATTTATATATAAATTTATATATTATAGATGCTTGTTGCAAAATTTGAATTCTCAGAAATGATATTAAGTAATAAATCTTCAGCTCTTTACTTGCCTAACAATATATGCAAAATTATTAATAATAAGCTATAGTGGTCACAACTTCAAGAACTTTTTCAGCTTCTTCTTCCATATTGTGCATGTCTTAACAAGCTACAATGTGATAAAGCATGATTATATGAAGTTGTTCATTGTGTTTCCTATCTTATAAAATTATATAAAGTTTATTCAAACCAAAATTTTGCTACTAATATGATTAAGTGTTTAGAGCACAGATGGAATTCCTGGGAACAGCCATTATTACTTCTTTCATTTTTACTCCATTCTAAATACGGCATATCAGTATTTAGCTCTATAAATGAACAGCTTTATTTTCAACTTAGTGATTGGCTAATATACTATTATTGTGCCTGGTTTGATAATAAACCTCATACTCTTTTACCTGAACTTGAAAAATATCGAAAAGAAGAAAAGCCATTTACTAAATGTGTTACTAACCAGTTTAATAATAATATTATGGGTTACTGGGAATATTGTACTACTTCAGCAAAAGAATTAGGTAAAGTAGCATGCCATATCTTCAAAATTTGTATTAATTCTGCCTCCGTTGAAAGGCTTTTCTTATGCATGGGTTGGTTGCATAATAAGTCATAATCTCGCTTAAAGGTTTGATTAAATTTATTTAAATTTTTAATTGTTAATATTTAGATCCATTAATTTTAAAAATTTTAGCTTCAAAAAGTGCTTCATATGAGTCAACTTAATGCTACTATGAACTGACATAACTGTTTGAAAGAAATTGAATTATCAATAAAGCAGTACAAGCAAAATAATGTTGCCTTACCAATACTCAAAGAAAATGAAAGCAATGATGTGTTTATAGTGGATAATGATTCAGATGATAAAGCAAAAGAAGTTAATGAAGAAAATGAAGTTATTAGTATTAATAATTGGAATAAAATAATACAACAGTGGGTTAATATGATCTCTGAAGAAGAAGAGAATGAAATTGATCTTACTGTAGGTAAAGATAATGTAGATCGAATTATTTGTGATACAGATCATCCAGCTATCAACAATGATGCAAAGTGGAAGCTAGAAACTTTGTTCAAAAATAATATTCCTGATCCAGAATTTATTTATAACTTATAAATATTATATTACTATAAATATGTTTTTACAATAAAGATTAAATTCTTATATTGTGTGTAAAATATTTATATAAAACATAAATATTGATTTTTTCTTTACTAACCATGCAAATAATATTAAGTTATTAACATAGTGTCAAGTAAATGTGCTTTATACATAATAACTGCTTAGAGTTTAGCTATATATATGCATCCACTTTCATTATTTTCTCTGTTCCTTCTCTAATACACCAAATCATATCTTTAATAACAACTATTTAATCTTTATTTAAGGTTCAATAGCATTGTTACTTTGATTCTAGTTAAAAGAAAAATCAAAATATAGATTCGATCTTACAGATTGAACCTTTTATTGTTATATGCGATTATCCTTTAGATTATGCATATTGTAAGTCTGTAGTAATAAATACAAAAAGCATCAGTATGACTGATTATGTGTTGGATAAATGCTGGCTAGCCAAAGGTGTTGGAAATAAATTCAATTAAAGGACATGAAGTCCGCAGAATACATTATGACATTATAAGTAATTTTAGCTAAGTAAATTTAGCTAAGTAAATTGAACTGAAATGATGATATGCTCCCAGAAAATTAGCAAGTAAGATTGCACCAGGTATCATCATAACAGTAGAACAAGCGAGAAGCAGCATCAGCTGGTGGTTTTCTGCCTGCTTAAAGCAGACTGGCTGTTAAATAGGAAAATGGTAGAATTAGGAGACTACAATATGTGGTGGAAGAGGTTGGATTGAGAAATTTGTTTGCCGAAGACTAATGTGTCAAAGTAGGAAAGGGTATCAAAGCATCTTGTTTTTAGTTCTTTATATATCGATTGTGGTCAGTGGCTTTTCTGTTACGTATCTGGTTGCATGTTAATTCATGCAATTTAACTGATTGATCCATTCTTTAATCCTGACTCATGCCTTCTGTCCTGTGATTTGAGAGTAGGGTTGTGATGCATGGCATGTGATCCTGACCAGTTCTTTCCTTTCTTTTTGATCTGTTGACCCTTATCAACATGCATTAAAATTATACAATGTTATTGATTATAACCTATTCTTGCTTTATTCAATCTGGTAATTCATATCACATACAATTTGACAATTAAAGAATTACTATTCAAGTTTAATTAGTTTGCAAAGTCTATAATAATAAATCTTTTTTTTTTTTTACTATTAAAATTATATAAATTGATATAGTCTATTGTCCATTGGTCTATTAAAAAAATATATCTTCAATGGAGTTAATTTTTTGAGTCAATGAACCAGAGCTCCATTGATAACAATGGACAAATTTGCTAACCCTGTCCCAGAGCCTTCTGTATGCATTTTTACAGCTGATCTAGGTATCATTATGACAGAACCAACACTTGTGGTCAGGGCTAATCATTAAACTGCTATGCCCTTGTAGAGTTCACTTAGACTCCAGCATCTACTTCACAGCATAACTCTGGTACTTTAGTATACCCCTACCTTTTCCTCTGCCCTTTTACCAAACTCCCAATCCAGATAGTCTGTGTAGGACTACGACCAGTGCATCAGTATATCAGGTCAGCCTGATATCCTTTTCTTTTGGTTCATTCTGGTGGCCTGGTTGGTGATACTTCTGAGACTCCTAATCTGAAGGTTCTTGTCTGTCCGCTACTAGGACCAGGTACTAGACCTGGGTATCCATTTCACTAAGCTAGCCTTTACAGTAGGGCTGTTGAAGATCCAGCTATCTCTCTACTCAGATTTTCCCAAATAGACTTCTTTATACAGCCACAAGGACTTATCTAGTGTTTGTACCACCTGATTTGTCAGTTTGCATTCCTCTGTGTAACTCCAACATTGCATAGATGCCCCATGACCTGCCAGTCATGCTGGTGTGACTGCCATTACAGGTATCCTAACCCAATTGTTAGTAACAGTTGCTATAATACGAAGATTACATAGGCGATTATTTAAATTTTCATCATCGATGGAATTTAAACACCCAACCTACCACTTGAAGGGTTGACAACCTGACCACTTCACTAGGTCACCACACTCTCTTACTAGTATTCTAAACAAAACTAACTACAAAATTATTTTAATAAAAGATCTAAATGGTGTTTCCAATTCTAAATTAGATAAAATATCTCAAAAAATTTCTAATACACCTAAACATTTTCTTTTAAAACTTCTAAAATTTCTTCAATTTTATGACACCTATAGACTTTTCTATCCATTAACCTCTCAGTTTTCCTATATATATAATAATAGTTATAGTCAAATTAATCAAATATGGACAAACATCTATATTACATTTCTTGACTACACTAATACTTTGTCTAACCTATTTATCTCATCAGACTATTTAATAGTTTCTCTCGAATTCACAATTAATTTACCTAAAATTAATACACATCTTCTACAAACAAAAATCATATATCAATAGAAACTAACAGAAAATAAACAAATTGAAAACTACCAAAATCTTACTGAACAAAACCTACAAAAACTTCTTACACCTATTAGAAATATTACCAATAACTCCAAATTTAATATTATATAGAACCAAATTAACAAAATTCTAACTAAGGCAGCTAAAAAACATATTCTATTTAAAAAAATTAAAATAAACTTATATCAAAATGAACAACTAGCATCAATACTTATATTGGTCGTCTCATTAAGCATGATATACCAACTTGATACATTTGAATTAAAATGTAATTATACAAAATTTTACATATTAACTTGCAATTAAATAAAT